CTCTTCCCCAGGGTCTTGCCAGTATGGAGATACATGCGTACTGGCTCTTAGGTAGAGTGGGTGTCAGGAAGGAAGGGACAGATTGCTAATAAAACAGGGACATCTGTTTCTTAGTGGCAAATGTTGCTGGATGGGTGCTCTCTCTGAAGCCTGAGGTCAGGTGACTTGATGAGGGCTGAGAATGTCTTTGTGTCCATTAAAAAGAACATTTAGCAAGGTTTTGGGTATGCAGCGTGCTTAAATTACATTTTGGATTTAATGTCAACATTGCTCAATGCTTCTTTTTATATATATATATATATATATATATAATATTTTTATCTTTTGTTAAAACAACATCTTCCTATGTGGCCAGCCTAAGCTGGCCTCAGACTCACTGTGTTGTATCTTCTGGATCTGACGAGCTTCCATATGCCCCAGCCTCTGGAGTCCTGAGACAACAGACATTAGCCACCTGCAGCTTGTTAAAAAAATGTATTTATTACTTCCATTTATATGTAAATTGCATGGCTATGTGTGCATTATATCTGTGCAGGTGCCCTTAAGGCCAGGGTGTATCTGATCCCCTTGAGCTGGAGTTAGAGTGGGCGCTTTAACTGCTGAGCCATCTCCCCAGCCCCCACCCAGTGCTTCTGATGCTTGCGCTTTCTCTGTGTTGCGACTGCACTGGCCCTGTCACTGGGATGCTGATGCTTACGTTTGTTCATTTACTTGTTTTTCCTCCAACCGCCCACATACTTTTCTCATTCGAAGCTCTTACAGTTGTACCAGGTTCTGGGAGGCATGTGAGAGGAAACTAAATCCCCTGCCGTCCAAAGCTGACTCTAGTTGGAGAGAACAGACCAAGAAACAGCTAGTAAGTCAGTGGAGTATCGAGCAGGGGCTCGAAAGAGTGGCGTAGGAAATGCGTGCTGTTGGAAGGGAACTGAAACAGGAGGCTGTTATGTAAGCAGGCAGTTGGGATGAGGCAGCCGAAGCGTTGAAGCGGAAGAAGCCTGCGCACTACCAGAAGACAGCAGCCCTTCGTAGGGCTTGTGTGGTCTGTGTTCCCAGGAAGGATGTCTCATGCTAATAAAAAAAGTTCACGAACTTTATTTGAGATTCGTTGAAGCAAAAGCTCCTGCCATGTAACCATCCCTAACATACTGCTGACAATAACCTCGCTGGCAGATCTGCTGGCTTTTCTTGCTTCGAAGTGATGTCCTTCTGTGCAAGGACGGGCTCTGAGTGTGCCACTGTTGGTTCAGTTAGATTCCAGGCTCTTTGTATTTCCCCTGCCCTTGCCTCTTTCTGCTGGGTCATGTTGGTTCTACTAAATATTTAGTGGGGAAGCTAACATGCCCAGTTTCCCAGCTGATGCCCCTTGCTGACACGTAATCCCTCCATTATCCTTAATTCCAGGTTCCATTTATTATAAAGACCTCCTTGCCTGTTTTCAAGCAACAGCTGTTTAGTGAAGGCATCCTAAATGATAAATGTATCTTCAAGATAGGGCTTAGAAATGGAGATTATTAGCTCCTGGGCTGGAGCTCAGTGGTAGAGTACTTGTCTAGCACCTTGGTAGGATTGATCCCCTGTACTTCAAAAAGGGGGAGAGGGAACAGAGAAATGGTCAGTGCCAATGGCCTCTTTTAGCCTTTATGGGTACCTGCACATGTATGGAATACACAGACAGACAGACAGACAGACACACACACACACACACACACACACACACACACACACACACAGAGGAGTAAATGATTTTTTATTTAAAAAGAATGTCTGATTATTCCCATTAGCAAGCTCTGATGAGAGATCTGTGCCTTCAACAGCTGTCTTTAATTGTGAGGCAGACATGATCCAGGGTAAGCAGCAGTGAATGAAAGACCTGTTGTAAGGATTAGAGGCCTGAAGAGCCAAGTCCAGAGGCTCCCTTGTATCCCCTGTGTCTGGGTTCACGCACTTTTCTCTGAAGACTCCCAGAAACCTGACTAGGTAGAGAGTCTGCCTGGCCTCTTTCCTCTTACAGACCTTGCAGGAAGAGGCCGTGTTCTTACTTTTAACATTGGTTTTGTTTTTATTTGGACCTCACGGGCATTTTATTAATGTAGTCTTCCCAGTATGTATGTCTCAGTGCTTGAGAGGTGGCAGCGGCAGTGGCTGCTTTCACAAGCAAGGCTCTTTCAGCTCTTCCCTATTGCGGCTACATTTGTCTGCAAGCTGTCCAGCTGTGGCCGGGAGTGCAGACAGCAGCTTTGGAATGAAGCACATCTGTAGGAAGCTGGGAGATCAGAGCTCTTGACCTTGACCCTTTGACCCTGACCCCATCCTTCTTGTACCCTGAGCAACTGAAACTGGTTGCTGTTATCAGATTAGATTAACAATGTTGCCAAAGTGGAGCATTAAGAGGGTTCCCCCAAACTAGTAATTATTATTGGGGTGACACTGAGATATCAAGAGTCTACTAAAGTAATTTCCCTTTAGATGAGTATAGTGAGAAGAGTGGGGAGGGGGATGTGGTGAGTACCAGGTTCCTCGAGGGTAAAGGATAATGTAGACTGTCCTCTCTTAGAAACCAAAGGGCGGCTGCATACTGGCTCTGTCTCCTTCACTGTGTGGAGATGTTGACTGTGTGAATGGCTCTCCTCTGGACTTCAGCTTCCCTAGTTGTCAGATGTAGTTTAAATGACAGTCCATTTGACTTTCCCATCAGTGTTTGACCAGCAGAGGGAGGTTCATGGGAGATCAGGGGACATTGCAGAAAGTGTGATAAGTACAAAGTTTTATGGAAGTCATTTTTAATTTACCCAAAAAATTCACCAAAGTGTCACAGTTCCCTCCCTGTCGTGGCTTTCAAATTAACTGTACAGTGTCACTCCGTCCCTGTGGTGAGTCAAACTAGCGTCATCCTGGGGTTTCACTAACTCCCGCCAGCCCTCAGGCACAGTGAGATGCCATTTTGAAACTTTGATTTTGTTTTGAGATAGGCATCTCAGCCCTGCAGCCCCAGCCTGCCATGAGCCTGGAGCTCACTAAGTAGTCGAGGTTGGCCTCAAAGATGCCATAGTCCTACCATAATCTCCTTAGTCCTGGGAATTACAGGTTATGTCCTCTCATAACAGGTTAATTTAAAACATCATTAGAACCAGAAGATCTCATGTGGATGGTAGAACCCTTAGTTTCCTAGCAGTTTCCATTTTTCAGCATAGTTCAATGTACTTTCTACACGGCCAAGATCATCTGTGGGCAGCAGCAAAGAGAATGGCCTTAGCTTGATTTATTCAGTAGCTGGGAGCTTTAGGATGGCTTTGGGTTGTCCTGAGACTACAGGTCTGTCATTGAAGCAGGGTTGGGGGAGGCTGAGGTTGAGCACTTATTTGCATATTCAAGTTAGGCAGTCATTTGAATATTCAAATTAGATAGAGTGATATTTGCATATACAAATTAGATGGTGTACAAGTACTTCTAGAACTCTCTGGGGTTTTATCTTATGTTTTTTTTTTTTAAAACAAGTTGAATTGACGTTTTCTATAGTCAATTCAGTATTGGTTCTTAACTTTTTAAAAATGTTTGTGGCTATATCAGAAAGGAGCAGTGTCATTGTCAAAAACACCCAAAAGGGAAGAGGTCTGACACACTGCAGCACTTGTCCAGCCCAATTACAGGTTCCCATGAAGACCCATTCAGGGAGAGAAAATATAGCTGCATCGTCCCTCTGAAACAGCGGTTATACATAACCTGAGGTTTCTGCTAGGCTCCCTCCCATCTCCCCAGCATACAGGCCAATTTCTTCACGCCCAAATACACTACAGTCTGCTTCAGAAATAATGCTCATTAGCGTAGAGTGACTGAGCAGATCCCAGAGAAACGCGAGTGTCCGTAGATTACAGAGTCTCTTCTAATCCCGTTCAGGTCTACTTTAGTTCACTCATTCAAGACGTTGATCCTAACACATCACAGTCTCAAATGACTGGAAGTCACTAGTTAGCTACTTGAACCCCAGTAGACACTTATCCCTGTGTTTCCATTAAGAGAAATGAACCCAAGCAGGGCTCATTCACTGAAAGACGATTGTTAGTTTGTGTTAGTTAACATTTCTCAACCTCAAAGCTACAAGGATCTTGGGCTATTCCGCTGAGTAATCAAAACATCAGCAAAATGTAGCACCTAAGACAGAGGTGTGTGTGGTAAGAAGAAACACAAAGCCATATCGGAGTTTACTAGCACGGTCCCCCCACATAAAGTCTCTTGATGAGATTTCTGCATCAAAATAAGTGAAACCATATGGAATGTTAATTATTCTTAAAACATAGTTTTAAGGGAAAACAAATACACATTAGAAACCTTAAAAAAAAATCAATGTTTCTATCTGTGTGCGAAGTCTGTGCTTCCTGGAAGGGTAAATGTTGACATTGTAAGTGTGACTTCTTTCCGTTTTAAATTACTCGTGCTGTTCTGGTTTTCTTCACATACCCTAGGTGTTGAACTTAATGCACATGGAAGGGGGCCTGCCTATATCTATTAGCCAGGCCCTCAACTTCACCTGGGTGCTGTGGGGCAAGGGGGCTGCTGAGGACCACCTGTGACCTCTGCTTGGGGTCTTGTTTGAGGCAGCCCATAAACACAGGGTATTCTCATCTGCTCCTATGTCTGAGTCTGCCACTGTCTCTATTTTATTTCCACCTCCTTGTCAGAATTTCATTTAGGGGTATGGGACGGGTGAGGGAGAGGCCAGACAAAGAAGGAGGGGTTTATAAGAAGCAGACTGCAAAGTGCCCGGCTCATGCATTTAGTCTGTCATCTTGCAAGTGTTTGCTTCTGATGTTAGAGGCAGATCGTTTGCTGTCCACATTCTGCAAATGGGCCTGGGGATCCTGGGAAGGCACTAGTGAGGGATGGGACCCCCCCCCATACCCCCAAGGCCCGGATTTCTCCTCCTGCCTTGGAATTAATGACATAGACCAGATGTCAATCCTAGAGCTGGAAGGGAACTTAGAGTTCATCCCCTCATTTTCCAGATGATGACACTGCCACCTCTGACTTCTGCCTCTGGCCTTCCTCTCTCAGTAAGAAGAGCCAGGCAGGTGAGACTTTTCACAATTGCTGGGCTGGGCTGGGCTGGGCTGGGCTGGGCTGGACTGGGTAGGGCTGGGCAGGGCAGGGCAGGGCTGGGCAGGGCTGGGCTGGGCTGTCTTATGGCTAACTGTCTTCTGGTTTGTGAGACAAAAGGTTTTGTTAATTCTTATATTGCTTTCAAGCAGTCACTATGTACGACAAATGCATTTCACACACTGAATCCCAGCGTATGGTGAAGATTATAAGCAATGTGCATTTTAACAAACAACACCACCCTCTGACAGAACCTTTCAAGACCCACAGCCGGCTGTCAGAGAAGGGTTGAGTACAGATTGGGCTGAGGGACAGTTATGGTCTTCAAGATTTGCCTGGCACTTTCTCTTATGGATAAAACCTGTAGCAGAGGCAGATGGAAGACTCTAAGACATCACAAACTTATCATGAAAATTTGGACGTAACAAAAGGGCTTGTTGTAATTCTGTCGATTCTAGGAAATTATAGTGAACCCCAAGATCACAGCTGTGGGTCTTATCCATTTCAGAAAACTAGTTTCCACGTGCAAAGTCTCTAGCCACACTTTCAGGAGTTAGAGAGTAGAGGTGTCTCCTCAGGAGTCACTGACAGCTTGTGAAGGTTTAGTGGGGAGACATCTCTGTCTCTAAGGCCCCAGAGCTGACTCCAGTGCAGGGGACAGGGAAGCAGCAGGAGCCTCTCTGATCAATCTCTCCTAGGGATTAGGCCCTGATGAAAGCTGCTATGGATACCTGGCCTAAATCAGGTCCCATACCACTCATCAACACTCTGACTGTCAAGGTTCTCACCCCATCCTCCACCCTATCACCACATCCCCCAACCCCATCCTCCACCCTCCCTCTCGATACCTTCTTATCTAGTTTATGACTCAAGGGAGAATTTCTGAGGGCTAGATTCTCCTTGACACCCCTAGAAAAAGCTAGATAGTGTCAGATTACTGAAATCTGCTTTGATTTCACTGTGACTAAGATGAGGATTATAATAAGATTTTAAATTCTCTCAAAGGTTAAAAGAAATAGTAAGACTATGTTAAAGAAGTCTGTTGGATGCACTTTTCTTAACAAAGAAGCCCTGCCAAAGGGGAACAAGAATAAATCCTAGTACTTTGGATTTATCTTTTATACTGAGTTAGGAAAAGTCATTTGGTCTGATTTAGTAAAAGTTTCACTTCAGATATCTGGGGTATAATAAGAAACAAAAGGAAGGGGGTGGGAAATCAATGAAGATTCACCCTTATGAGTCTGGTAGTGATCCAGTGCCTGGAGTTGGGTTGGCTTCCACACAGGGCCTAGTGCATACCTGCTTGCGAAAGTCCTTGGGGACTCTCTGGGTGTGGAGAACTTAAGGATAAACAGCATTTAGACTGTAGGGTGAACAAGTCTTTACTGAAGTGAGCAGTGCATTTGAAAATCTGTGTGTGACTTGCTGTTCCTTGGGAGAAAGCTAAAGTTTTCCTTTTCTTTTAATTTTTTTTTTTAAATCTTGTAACGTTTCTATCATTTTAATTGATATTTACAGATTTTTCCCTCCCCATCTTCTGTTACAATTTTTAGGTGCTTCAGAACTGGGCCCTTTTTCAGACCCCAGGCAGTTCCCAAGCATTTCATCCCTCACTGAGAGCCGCTTCTCCAACCCACGAATGCACTACCCAGCCACCTTTACTTACACCCCGCCAGTCACGTCAGGCATGTCCCTCGGCATGTCCGCCACCACTCACTACCACACGTACCTGCCACCACCCTACCCCGGCTCCTCCCAAAGCCAGAGCGGACCCTTCCAGACCAGCAGCACTCCATACCTCTACTATGGGACTTCGTCAGCGTCCTATCAGTTCCCAATGGTCCCCGGGGGAGACCGGTCTCCTTCCAGGATGGTCCCGCCATGCACTACCACCTCGAATGGCAGCACGCTATTAAATCCAAATTTGCCTAACCAGAATGATGGTGTTGACGCTGACGGAAGCCACAGCAGTTCCCCAACTGTCTTGAATTCTAGCGGCAGAATGGATGAGTCTGTTTGGCGGCCATATTGAAATTCGTCAACCATGGCCCAGTGGCATGCAGGGGCCACATCCCACATGTGTTAATATATACATATATAAAGAGAGTGCCTATATATGTATATTGATTAGCTATCTAAAAGATTTCTCATTCATTCCCTAGTCATGATCTTGCAACCCTAAGAGGGTGGGGACAGTCATAACTGGGTTTCATATTGTTTACTATTTAAGATGTCCCCTTTACCAAGGAACAAAGTGTCAAAGGTGTTGTCCGGTCTGTTTTCATAAGTGACCTTGTTCCCATGCCAATTCAGAGAGGTGGACTCTGGGTCCAGGAGGAAGAAGAGCCACTTCCTCCGTGTGCTTTGAAACCACATGCCTCTGCTCTGTGGAGGCCTGTGCACTCTGCAGACCAGCTTACAAAAAGCCAGATGTGGTCCACTCGGAAAGGGACGAGAGGCAGCGTGGCTGCCTCCGCTGCCGTCCACTCTGAATACCTGTTCCATAGTTTTCCTTCAGACTTGCTACAGGTACTCATTTGAACTTTTGAGTTCACTTTTTTTTTTCTATTCTAAGAAAGTAACTTCAAAAATACTGATCAGGACAGATTATTTTATTTTACTTTTTTATACTCCCTTCCTCCATTTAACCAAAAAGAACTCCCATTCCCCTCCCCCCTCCTCCTGCTTCTCCTTTTATGCAAAACTGAAAATGGCAAATATCTTACTATAGCCATAATGATATAGTGTTTGAGTTGGCTGTGTGTTATTTGTTTTTTTTTTCTTTTTTCTTTTTTAAATTATGAATATGTGTAAAATCTGAAGTAACTTGCTAACGTGAATGGTCATATAACTTTAAAGATATATTTATAATTATTTAATGACATTTGGACATTTGGAACATTTCTTAGTGTAAATGCTATGTTGACTTCGGTCTCTAAAAGTGCTTCTCCTTAAATAACAAGTTTCTTCAATGGGCTAGAGCCATGTCGGAAATATTGCTAAGCAATTTCAATCCCTTCAGGCATAATGTGATTTTTTTTTTTTTGGAAGATAACTCCCATCTCCAAATATTTTAGGTGTAGTTTGTTTTCATGATGTATGAAGGAAATGCTATGTTTCTTTCTTTCTTTCAGGTGTTTGATTGCCTCTGACACAGCTTTGCCTTTTAAAGCAATAATTAGGGATTAAAAACAAAAACAAATCAAAGACCACCCAGAGCCCCATGGCCCTTTAGCACTTACTGCAGCCCCTTTACTAGCATGAAACGCTGGAGACATGCAGTTTCCTAATTTCTTCATTTGGGGGTTGGGGTGGAGGGTGGCCAATATGATTCTTGTCATATTAAAAAGCCAAGCACACTTGATTGGTTGAACTGCAGAAGAGTGTTCTGTGGTCTCAGAGTTGAGCAAAACTCTAAATTGCAGGCTGAGTGGCTGAGGGCCTAGTCTACCAAGAGCCACATGTGTGGTAAAGGCTCAGTCATGACATGTACAGCCTAAGAACCCAGACACATTAGGAGTCCGCACCTTCTAGCCTTACCACACAGCCGTTCAGGGGAACCCAGAAGTGCCTTACCCAAGGAGGGGCCCCCAGCAGCTTTCCAAGAAGTAGAATGAAGTCCCTGTCCTGGGGGAGCGGATCAGCTGAAGTAGCAACCGGTAGCTGACGTCAGTAGACACAGAGCCTGTGGGGACCTCCAGGAAGCCTTTGATGTTAGAGGCTCTCACTAGAGAGGGCCAAAAACAGCAGAGAAGGCCATGTACCAATTGGTGTCTTACCATTGTGTGTGAATTTGAGATCCAGCCCTCCTAGGAAGATGCATTATTCCTGGCACCTTGTGGCCAATCCCTGAGTGGGACTCCCTAATCTAAGCCAGGGATCATTCAATGACATCAGCAGGCCAATCCCAGCATTCCTCCTGCACAAGCTTTTGTGTATGTGTGTGTGTGTGTGTGTGTGTGTGTGTGTGTGTGTGTCTGTGTGTGTGAGGGGGCTAGATTGGGGTGGGGGCCACCTTCATTTGAATCCCGAGTCATTCTCAGAGTTCTGCAGACTTTTGCCTTCAGCCCCTACACCCCCTTGCTCTCTGCTCCTTCTCAGGTTGACCTTTGTCCCAGTTCGGGACACTCTGGGTTGCAGATGGGAACCTATGTGTGCCTCCAACCTGTGTTTTCCCCAGAATTCATCCTGACTCCTTCTGATACAAATTGAGGTGGGACGAAACCCACCCTGCACCAAAGCAAAACCCTTTGCCTTCTAAAGGTTGTGTGTACCAAGTATACCCAGATGGTCAGGCCACCTTTGTGTTTCTTAAGATGGAAATTGTAACTGATGCTATTTATTGTTTGTGTGTGGTAGCTGGAAGCACACCACAGTCCACGTGTTTGTCTGATGCCTATTTCAGCAGCATTTACAAAAGCCAGTGTCTGGTTACACGTTTCAGTTTTCATTAATCGACATGAAAATGTTACCATCGGTGCCAGCTGCACCCTATTTAATTTTTTTAAAAGGGCACTATATTTGTACATTATTTTTTTAATGTTAAAGGGCTTCTTAAAGTTTACAATACCGTTATTAAGGGACTAGAGGGATGCGTTAGTGCCTAAGTGTTGTTATAGTGGCTGCAGGCAGCAACCCAGAAACATTTTTGAAAACAGTTTCCCTCTGTCCTCCCTTATTTGGGAAAAATTCAAGTGCTTTCTTCACCTTTCAGGCAATTCACCAGGTGACTCCTGTTACTTAGAACAGCCTTTCTTTTGATTTTGTTTGTTTGTTTTTGTTTCTTGTTTGTTCGCTTGGGTTTTTTTTTTTTTTTTTTTTTGGACTAGGGTTTAAAATCCCCCTTCCTCTTCCCTTATCTCTTAAACTCTTCATTTGCACTGGGTCACATGTATGATTTGTGGTTTTAAGACCAAAGCAATGTTTTATCACTCCTCTGGAACTGTTTATGTGTACTGACCAATCCTCCACTCCACTTGCCTGGGCTTAGATCAACATGGTTCTCAAAGGAGCACAACCATGGCTGACATTTACAGCGGGACCCACACAGCCATATTAAAAACTACTCTTTAGTTGTGTTAGAATTTTAACCTAGGCCACAGTTCCTAAAGGGCACTGTGGCTTTGGTTTCAGGTTAGGGAATGGTGCCCAGGCAGTAACAGAAAGACTTAACAGATTCAACTAGTTTGCCCTCATCCTTCACCAAGACCCTAAGAAAAGGAACAGAGAAACATCTCCACACCATTAGAGACTGTCCCTTGTAGGTTCAGAAGGGAGGAGCCATGTTGGGGTTTCCCTCTGCTCCAAGGAAAGGCACTGACTGACCTAGTCATAGAGAGTAGTAGCGGAAGAAGCAGTCCCATCCATGGGATTTGAGAGACTAGTAAACAATAAAAGATGATTCTCCCAAGCTTTGAATTTGTTGTTCTTAAAGAAGATGATGCATCTAAAACAAAGATTTTTTTTTTCAATGTGGAAACTTTCTTCGTTGTCTGTTTACTTCATGTTTACAAATAATTGTTTGCTTTTTAATGCAGTACTTAAAAAATATATCAGCCAAAACCATAACTTACAGTAATTTCTTAGGTATTCTGAATAAAATTCCATGTCTTTCAATATGCTTACTGTTCTTAGGTTTCTGCGGAACAACAACAACAAAATTGTAGCATTTTGTGTAAATACAGCTTTCGTTCTTATTTTTTTATTTTTCTGATTGCTATTGCCCAAGATTTGCTTTTCATGCACGTATTGTACAAACTCTGCTTTGTGCCACAGGTCATGATTGTGGATGAGTTTACTCTGAACTTCAAAGGGACTATTTGTATTGTATGTTGCAACTGTAAATTGAATTATTTGGCATCCCCGCCCCCCATGATTGTAATATTAATTTGAAGTTTGAATTTAATTTTCAATAAAAAGGCTTTTTTTTTCTTTTGGTTTTGTTATGTGTGTATACTGGATCTTTTCTCGTCTGTGTCTGACGTTTACTCCTGCCTGCATCTAGGATGTACAGCGCTACAGAAGAACAGGGACCCTGTGTCTCTTTAGAGAGAGGAACCTCCTGGTGAGCACTGTGCCTGCAAGTCTGCCGTGCCTCTGGAGGAGCAGGCAGAGACTCTAGCCATCAGTGTGTCCTTAGTGCCTGAGTCTGAAGAAGTGGGCACCCATGACATCCTGCTGCAAAGCCCCTGATGAGTCAGACTGTATAGACCTCTGAGGACAGGAACTGGACCCAGAAATTGACCACCCTCCTCCCAGCTGTCCTCAGATCCTAGGTAGCCCAGATACCAGGAGTTGTCTATTTTCCTTCCCATATCTCTTTTTGGGTCTTCAGAATTCAAAAATCGAAGCCCTGTGGTGAGTAAATTAGCTCAGAGGAATTCAGCTTCAGAAGCTGGGAAACCTAAGAGGAGTTTGAGGACTTTTATTTTGTTTTGTTTTAGGGCCAGTATTTATTTTTGGTAAATCCTTCCCCTTCCGTGAGGCTGACTCGTTACTTGCTTCATGGCCCATCTGTTTGACTTTCCACAGTTCTACTATAGGAGTCCAGAGACCATGGTCAGAGATGCTAGATCACTGGCCACATCAGATCCTTCATCCCAATGGGTAGAGCCCTGCCTCCTGGAAGAGGGTTGCTGCCCAAGAAATCTTGAAAGCAGTTTATTTCTAAGTCAAGGAGACATGCTAGAAAAATCTGCCTGAACTTTGACCAGAGAATTTGTCTGTAGCTCTTTCAAGATGAATATTTATTTATTTATTTATTTGTTTGTTTGTTTATTTATTTAAAATAAACATTTTCATGGCTTTCAAAGGCACACAGGAGGGGACACAGAAGCAGTCTGGTCTCTTGCTTTGCCCCAAGCCACATCTCTCCATTTCTCTGAGCCTCGAGTTTCTTGCTTACTTTCGAGATAGGCCAGCCAGATCTCCGTTGGGTCCTGAGCCTTGTGGCATATTTATCAGTAGCCCCAAATGGATGCCAAAAGTACCTCTCCTTCTCAACCACCCAAAATACCCCTAGGCATTACCAAATGAGCAGCATCTCCATGGCTTATGTGGAACTGGTAGAAGGGGATGACTGAGCTGGTCAGAGGGCTGCTGCCATCTAAAC